TCTTTTCTTTTCTTTTCTTTTCTTTTCTTTTCTTTTTTCTTTTCTTTTCTTTTCTTTTCTTTCTTTCAGGACGTAGTCTGGCTCTGTCGCCCAGGCTGGAGTGCAGTGGCACCATCCTAGCTCACTGCAACCTCTGCCTCCCAGGTTCAAGGGATTCTCCTGCCTCAGCCTCCCAGGAAGCTGGGACTACAGGCCTATGCCACAACACCCGGCTAATTTTTGTATTTTTGGTAGAGACAGGTTTTCACCATGTTGGCCAAGCTGGTCTTGAACACCTGACCTCAGGTGATCCGCCCACTTTGGCCTCCCAAAGTGCTGGGATTACAGGCATGAACTCGCATTTCTTTTGACTAACCTTATCTGAGACTTCAGCTTCCCTAATCCCTCTAGCAATCCCTTGTGTTTGGCATTTCAGCCACAAGCCACTATGGGTCCTACACTTTTTCCTTTGTGTGACTTCTGAAGCATTTTTTGTTATGCTCATCTTTCTTCTTTCCTTCAGATTGTAGCTCATGAAAGGCAGAAATTGTCACTCCTCTCTCCTTTCCATGACAGGAATGGATATTCTGTAGATACCATTGCCTGACTAGGAAATGAGCAGGCATTCAAAACATCTTTCAGGGTCAGGTAAGTTGCCAGGGGTTGCCGTCTATTAGAATTCAGTTATTATTTAAACATAAGGGCCAGGTTAGGTGGCTCACGCCTGTAATCCCTAGCACTTTGGGAGGCCGAGGCGGGCGGATTACTTGAGGTCACGTGCTGTAGAACAGCCTGGCCAAAATGGTGAAACCCCATCTCTACCAAAAATACAAAAATTAGCCAGGCTTGGTGGCACATGCCTGTAACCCTAGCTACTCAGGGGGCTGAGGCAGGAGAATCACTTGAAGCCGGGAGGTGGACGGTGCAGTGAGCCGATATCATGCCACTGTACCCCAGCCTGGGTGGCAGAGCAAGACTCCATAACAAAACAAATAAGTTATAAAATAAATAAATAAAGATTAACAAGAGCCACTGAGTGCGGGGGTCACAATCTGTATATTTATTATGTTTCTATATGGATCGTACAAGGCAGTCACAGCTTAGTACAAATCAATGACCCGTCTCAAGGAGCCAACCTTGGCATCAGCACCACCCCAGTCATGGTACCTCCTGTAGTCCCCTGGCCTCAGCAGATACTGCCGCCCCTGGTAGTTGGGCATTTCATAGAGGACCCAGCAGCCCTCCAGCACGTGGAGGGAATAGATCTCTTGGAGACGGAAGAGTTCAGGGACACAGGCGCAGTCGTCAGTGAGCTCAGACATAAGGCCTCGGTAGTCATCTCTCTCATACAGCCTTAACTTGTGAGAGCTGGTCATGACAGACAATAAACACAAGAAGAAAAATAAACAGCATGCATCCTTGGGTGTCAAGAAAAGTGACATAATCAGTCTGCATCTTCATGAAGCATGGTTTTTATTTTTAAGATAAAGTTCTTTTTTTTTTTTTTTTGACAAACATTGTTTCGCTCTTGTTACCCAGGCTGGAGTGCAATGGCACGATCTCGGCTCACCGCAACCTCCGCCTCCCGGGTTCAGGCAATTCTCCTGCCTCAGCCTCCTGAATAGCTGGGATTACAGGCACACGCCACCATGCCCAGCTAATTTTTTTGTATTTTTAGTAGAGACGGGGTTTCACCATGTTGACCAGGATGGTCTCGATCTCTTGACCTCGTGATCCACCCGCCTCGGCCTCCCGCAGTGCTGGGATTACAGGCTTGAGCCACCGCGCCCGGCCTAAGATAAAGTTCTTGCTACGTTGCCCAGGCTGGAGTATAGTGGCAGGACCGCTGTTCACTACAATCTCTACCTCCTGGGCTTAAGTGATCCTCCACACCTCAGCCTCCCAAGTAGCTGGGATCACAGGTGTGCACCACTGCACCTGGCCAATTAATTTTTTAAAATTTTTTGTAGAGATAGAGTCTCACTATGTTGCCCAAGCTGGCCTTGAATCCCTGGGCTCAAGTGATCCTCTCACCTTGGCCTTCCAGAGTGTTGTGATTACAGGTGTGAACCACTGTACCTGGTTGAAACATGGTTTTTAAACCAGTTGATAAAGTATTTCTCCCCGGTCCTACTTTTTATGTTGTTATTCTAAAAAATTAGGAAAACTATTAAAATAAATCTGACCTAATCAATAAACTGGAGACGTTGTGGAAGAAGCAAACATTAAAATATAGGGAATTAAAGTGTGTTCTTTGTAATGAACCATCATCACAATTGAGGTCAATAAGACTGTAGAGAGGATTTCAACTCTTGTTTCCATTTTTACTCCATACAATTGAGTCTTATCAAGCTTGTTTTTAAGTCACTTTTTGCAGTTACAATTTACAGTGATTTATATTTACACTGAGTCCACAGGTCTTTTCTTTTTTTCTTTCGTTTTTTAATAAGATGGGGTTTCACCCTGATGGCCAGGCTGGTCTTGAACTCCTGACCTCAGGTGTTCAAGTGCTAGGATTACAGGCGTGAGCCACCGTGCCCAGCCTTCTTTTTTTCTTTTTCTTTTTTTTGAGACTGAGTTTTGCTCTTGTTGCCCAGGCTGGAGTGCAATGGCGAGATCTCAGCTCACTGGAACCTCTGCTTCACAGGTTCAAGCGAGTCTCCTGTCTCAGCCTCCCGAGTAACTATGGTTACAGCTAATTTTGTATTTTTAGTAGAGACAGGGTTTTTCCATGTTAGTCAGGCTGGTCTCGAACTTCTGATCTCAGGTGATCCGCCTGCCTCAGCTTCCCCAAATGCTGGGATTACAGGCGTGAGTCACCTTGTCCGGCCCCACATGTCTTTTCAAGTGATATTTTGACAAGTCATTTGTGCCATTTAAGTTTTTTGCCCCAAAGAAATGCCTATTTTATTTATATCTTTGTGCATCTGCAAATTTTTCTAGCCTAAATTTGCTTTTTTTTTTATGAGATGAAGTCTCGCTCTATCACAGGCTGGACTTCAGTGGCACAGTCTCAGCTCACTGCAACCTCCACCTCCCAGGTTCAAGCAATTCTCCTGTATCAGTCTCCCACTTAGCGGGGACTACAGGCACACACTACCATTCCTGGCTAATTTTGTTGTATTTTTGGTAGAGATAGGGTTTCACCATGTTGGCCAGACTGGTCTTGAACTCCTGACCTCAAGTGATCTACCCAGCTCGGCCTCTCAAAGTGCTGGGATTATGGGTGTGAGCCATCGAGCCTGGCTGTGATTTCAATTCTTGAATATCCTTGTCACACCACATAATTTGGTGCCATCAGTGTAAACACATGCTGCACGTGATTAAAAAACATTAAGCAACACTTTGGTAAGGACCATGTTTTATGAAATCCCAATTAATTGTCTGTCTATGTTATTTGTAAGAAACTAGTTGATAATGACTTCTGGAAATTATAAATCCACACAAATTGAAACATATTTTCCTAGGTTCTAGTATGTCCTAGAATGTAGTGAAAAAAATGCCCAATGTAGTCAGAACACATTATACCTATATTTTTCTTCCACAGTCTGTTAAGTTTTTTTATCATTAAAAAGTAATTATCTGGCTGTTCACCGTTGCTCATGCCTGTAATCTCAGCACTTTGGGAGGCTGAGGCGGGTGGATCATGAGGTCAGGAGTTCGAGACCAGCGTGGCCAATATGGTGAAACCCTGTCTCTACTAAAAATACAAAAATAATCTAGGTGTGGTGGTGCATGCCTGTAGTCCCAGCTGCTCTGGAGGCTGAGGCAGGAGAATCACTTGAACCAGGGAGGTGGAGGTTGCAGTGAGCAGAAATTGAGCCACTGAACTCCAGCCTGGTGACAGAGCAAGACTCCATTTCATAAATAATAATAACAATAATTATCTAGATAAACTAGACAGACTTTTTTTTTTTTTTTTTTTTTTACTACTGAGTAAGGTGACTTTTATGTAGAAATTAAGGATCACTTAGATGCTACCAAGTTTAATTTAAAGGCTGTGGTGATTTCTCATGTCCTGAAACAATTATTGATGTCCTTAAGTAAGAAAAATAGAGATTATTGCTACTTTTCTTTTTTTTTAATGTTTGAGGGTCAGGTCTTGCTATTCTTACTGTGAATACTCATCCTGATTTGGAGCTAACTGCCTTTTATAAACAGGAATTGATGGTCATGGATCATTGATTCTTTCACGTCAGTCAGGTTGAAGCAAGACTCACATCAGGAATTATACGGCAGGATCGGACTGAGTCACTGAGGCCCATCCAGTGCTGATAGTCGGGGTACTCGCCTCGGCGCAGGAAGTACTGGTGACCCTGGTAATTGGGACGCTCATAGATCATCCAGCAGCCACTGTCCACTCGGATAGAGTTGCAGCGGCCGAAGTAGACCCGCAGGTTGGGGCAGTCACCGATGCAGTTGTAGCAGCGGCCCTGAAAGTCTCGGTCCTCGTAGAAGGTGATCTGAGGTAGAAACAAGGTGACAATAGATGGTCAGCTGGAAGGAACATCCCCACACGCCACACCCCCAATAGACATGGCACAGCACCTCCACAGGCTCACCTTCCCCATGGTTGTTGACAGCGGGTGATTAGCATCTAGTATGATGGGGACAAAGGGACAGCTGGTATATATAGCAGGAAAGCTGCTGTGTTGGCAAAAACAACACAAAAGGGACCGAGGGGTAGTGCATAGGGGGATTTCTGTGTTCTCTTTTTTTTTTTTCATTTGAGATCATGGGGCAGGGGGTTCTCTCATGCTCTCTCTCTGGCATTTTCCAGTCGTCCTCCCTAGCTCCAGTGAAAGGTACTAAAGTCAGCAGAGCCATTATGACCTTGGAGACAAAGGGTGCACTTCTCGTCCCATGCAGCTCACTAGAAATCCATTACATGCCCAGCATTCTGCAGTGTTTACCTGTGGAAACTGCTGAGATGGAGGTTGGCGGTTCCACCCGAGGCCACTTAGGAGAAGTATGTGTGTTCCAGAAGGACTTAAAGTGTGAAGAGGCAACAAAAAAATCCCAAACAGAAAATCCTCTAATTGAAAGACAGTTATATTTCTTAAATGACTTCATCAGTATGACATGGTTTTGATAAAAATATTTTGTATATATTTATGTAGGGAAAACATAAGATTAGTAGTGTGTGCTATACCAACATATCCATCATGGTAATCAATGAATGCCAAGATTATAGATCTTAGCTTTGCGTGTTTTTTGTTGCTATTTTCTTTTTTTTTTTTTTTCAAAGACGGGGTTTCACCATGTTGGTCAGGCTGGTCTTGAACTCCCGACCTCAGGTGACCTGCCCGCCTTGACCTCCAAAGTGCTTGGATTACAGGCGTGAGCCACCATGCCTGGCCGCTGTTGCTATTTTCTTAATTTCTATTATATCTGCCAACTTCAGCCAGACAGCAAAAAAAAAAAAAAAAAAAAAAAAAAAATTCTATTATAAATATAACAATTTCATGACATGAAAATACAATAGCCGGGCGCGGTGGCTCAAGCCTGTAATCCCAGCACTTTGGGAGGCCGAGGCGGGTGGATCACGAGGTCAAGAGATCGAGACCATCCTGGTCAACATGGTGAAACCCCGTCTCTACTAAAACTACAAAAAATTAGCTGGGCATGGTGGCGCGTGCCTGTAATCCCAGCTACTCAGGAGGCTGAGGCAGGAGAATTGCCTGAACCCAGGAGGCGGAGGTTGCGGTGAGCCGAGATCGCGCCATTGCACTCCAGCCTGGGTAACATGAGTGAAACTCCGTCTCAAAAAAAAAAAAGAAAATACAATAAAATCAATTTTTAAATGTATGATGGTGAAAATCAGTAAATACTGGAAAATAGGCATATTTTGCCTAGAGATTAAACACTACCTGAGCTAAAAATATAAAGATACCCTGAGAGTCTGTGACAGGGTGAAAGAGCAGAAACATCCACAGGATCCTTCCACTCCCCTCCCACCTCCCCCTGCTACCTTCCTTCTAGCATTGCTTTTGTTTTTTAAAATTAGCTTGATGATTTGCCTGTGTTTTTCCTTTTAATAGTGTCACTGTTTCATTGAATCCAAGTGACTGCCTAAGAGAATTCTCTATTGCTGCCAACCTATTGATTTAGAAGCACTCCTCAGATGTGCAAGGGTGGAGGGTGACTCCAACCCCAGACTGTCTTTTGTTATTCCACACGTATATAGCAAGATGAAATCAAGCACCTTTGTGCTTTAGACCCACAGAGGGATTCTAAAAGCGTATTTGACCACAGCTAGCAAACACATTCACGATGTCACTTGTGAAAATCCTCAGGCAGCATGTAAGGCAAATGTGCAGGTGGTAAAAGGAGAGACAGCAATAGCTACCAAGGAAAAAATGTTTCCTCATTATTAGCAGAGCTAGACAAAAGACAACTGGGTGAAGTCCTATGAATTAGACACCTGGCAGTGCATACAGGGATCACGTCAAGATTCCCTCTGTCTCCCCGCTAATTATCTGCAGGCCTACAGGTAAATCTTATTTACAACCATAATCCAACCCAGTGTGGAAAAGGTTGCATTGGTCTCCCAGCCACAACCCTGCGTGAGAATACACCACCATTTTCAGAAAGTCTACAAACCATGGCCAGGCGTGGTGGCTCACGCCTGCAATCCTAGCACTTTGGGAGGCCGAGGCAGGCAGATCACGAGGTCAAGAGATCGAGACCATTCTGGCCAACATCGTGAAACCCTGACTCTGTTAAAAATACAAAAATTAGCTGGGTGGTGTGGTGGCACGTGCCTGTAGTCCCAGCTACTCAGGAGGCTGAGGCAGGAGAATTGCTTGAACCCTGGGAGGTGAAGGTTGCAGTGAGCCGAGACTACACCACTTCACTCCAGCCTGGTGACAGAGCGAGAGTCTGTTTCCAAAAAAAAAAAAGTCTACAAACCCCACCCATGTTTTTGCACACGCCGATAAAAACTGTTCTACAGACAGACGGCACACCAAAACCTTAAGAAATGTATCATGCATACTGATATTCATGAGCTCAAGTTGTTATTACATACATTGACAGGCTAAGCCATGTGCCTAATCAGCATTTTGGAAAGGTACTAAAAGACTAGAACATTTTCCCTCCTAGTAGTCATTATAGTCTACTGAGAGAGAGCCTGTATTCATTTTTCTTTTAATGCTTTATTGAAATGATTAAAAATTTTTTTCATATGAGAGCACAGTAAAGGCAATCAATGACAGATTAATTTTATTTTGGATTAACTCTTTGGAAAACTGCCTCCTTCTCCAACACTGTGCAATGTTCAGTGCCATACATTTGTAAAATGTGCCACAAAGCCAGCTTGCTCTGTCACAGAAATACTACATACTCTCTGAATTCTCCAACAGTCTTCTAGTCACAGTGAAGTAGCGTAAGATCCTATTTTTTTTAACAAAATGTAGCCATGCAATATGTTTCTAAAAGAAAAAAGCTCAACATCAAAAATAACACTTCAATGCAGTTGTATCAAAAACTAGTTGTAAAGAAAAATGTACTGGCAGGAACTGTGGTTTTAAGATGATGCTTCTCGTCTGCTCCCAGAGACTCTATGAAGTTCCATGGTACAATTCCAATTTTCTAAGTGACCTACAGAATAAAAGATGATTTGGGTATCGAGCACATCAATTTAACATGGACATAGATATTAGCTTTAAATCTATGGGAAGTTAAGTTCAAATATAAGATACTAACTTACTGACAAAGATAGATTAGATTAATTACAAAGGAATTTCCATGAAATTATTCTGATATTTGGAAATTGAGTTATATTTCCCAACTAAATGTAATTTGTGATCCCATACTGGCTCTTATACAGAAGGAAAAAATGCTTACAAATAACATTGTTGGGTCAATTGACAAAATTGATGTATAGAGAGTAGATTAAACAAAAGTACTAATAATAGATATTCTGAAATTGATAACTATTCTGGAGTTATCTAAGAGAATGACTTTGTTCTTAAGAAATACACATCGAGGTACATAGGGGTAAAGTGGTAGAGTGTGTATAACTTCTACTAATGGTGCAAAATAATTATATATATTTATCTATATACAGAGAGACATAGACAGAGAATATAATAAAGCTAGTAAAACAAAACATTAACAATTCGTGACTCTGTATAAAAGGAATATGTGGCTGGGCATCATGGTTCATGCCTGTAATCCCAGCACTTTGGGAGGCTGAGGTGGGTGGATCACAAGGTCAGGAGTTTGAGACCAGCCTGGCCAATATGGTGAAACCCCATCTCTACTAAAAATACAAAAATTAGCTGGGCATGTGGCACGCACCTGTAGTCCCAGCAACTCGAGAAGCTGAGGCAGGAGAATCACTTGAACCCAGGAGGTGGAGGTTGCAGTGAGCCGAGATTGTGCCACTGCACTCCAGGCTGGGCAACAGAGGGAGACTCCAACTCAAAAAAAAAAAGGAATATGTGGGTCTTTTTCATATTATTCTTGCAAATTTTCTCTAAGTTTGAAATTATTTTCACATTAAAAAGATACTTCTCTTAACCAATCCTACCCAAAGCAAATCATTTTTTGGCCTTTCAGCAGTTATGTATTATGCTTTTAGGATATTATTTTGAATTTCTGATGTATTGCTTTAGATTTAAATTTAAATTGTCCACTCTCTATGTCTCGTTTCCTTCCATGATAGCGTGACTGTTTCATGAGTGGTAATAAAGGGAGCTACTATATTATTGCTTGCCACTGTCCTGACACTTTTCTAAGCCTTTACGCATATACCTTATTTTAGTGCTTATAACAACCCTATGAGGTAGGCACTATTGTGATTTTTTAAAGAGATGAAAAGCTAAGGCACAGAGAGATTAGGTAACACTCAAGTTATGAGGTGGGTAGCTTGGATTCAAGAAGTGTGCTGTCTTCTAGTTCTTTAGTATGGTCCTATTCCTTCCAAATTTACTTCCTAGTAATGTGCCCACTACTGACACTTTCCTAGGAAATGTTGTTCATAACTATTTTCACTAATAAATCAGCTACTAATACCAATGCAATAAAAAAATTATTTAAGCTGTTTCCCAGAGCACTGAGGGTTGGTTTGTCTGTTTTGACATAGAGTCTCACTCTGTCGCCCAGGCTGGAGTACACTGGCACGATCTCAGCTCACTACAACCTCTGCCTCCCGGGTTCAAGCAGTTCTTGTGCCTCATCCTCCCTAGTAGCTGGGATTATAGGCATGCACCACCATACCCAGCTAATTTTTGTATTTTTAGTAGAGACAGGGTTTTGCCATGTTGGCCAGGCTGGTCTTGAATTCCTGACCTCAAGTGATCTGCCCGCCTCAGCCTCCCAAAGTGCTGAGATTACAGGCATGAGCTGTTGTGCCTGGCTGAGATTTTTTTTTTTAAATAATTTCCTCTTTTCTCTTACTCTTTGAAGAAATTTGGTGGCTAGAAATAAATAAAAAATTCTAAATAAGGCATTGTTTTATCTTGAGATTAAAAAAATTGTTCTTCAGCTTAAAGACATATAATATCCACAAACCCATAAAAGAAAAATGTTAAGCTCAATGAAATGAAAATCTTCCATCACCAAGCTATGAAAGCATATTTTTCATCCATTTAATAAAATACTTATTCTTTTAATATAGAAAGAGTTCTAACAAACCAGTGAGACATACATAAATGTATATTTACATG